GGAAAGCTTCTCTGTTTTACAATTTAAAACTTGTTAATTTATATAGTTATAGTGTATATAGTAATATTATTTGTAGGTGTATTGTATGTTTTATTGTTTTTTATTTTATTATATTTACGTAAGATTGTCATTATTATTCAYAGTCGTTGTAATCGAGGCCGGCATGTTTAAAGTATAAATGTTTGTTTTTAATCATTCGTGTAATGTTCATACAAAATGTCAGATGTGCTTAAACGATTATCGCCATTCATTCACCACGTATGATATCGTGTGTCATAATAAAATATACGTCCTTATAACATATATGCGTTTTGTGCCTCGTATCACAAGTAAATAATTGTTGGGGAGAATATTATATTTATAAATTAATGCTCATCTGAAGTATACCTCTTCAGCTAAAAGCCTAAAATATAAGAGCGTTTTTTGATGTCTATATYATACAGTTATTCATTTAACGTGGACTTATTGTAATGTCTTAGGAATTGCGAGAAATTCTGAAACATATTTTTGTTTTGTTTCATCATTTCAATTATCCATTCTTTTTCGATCATCGTGCATGTTTGGTTGAGATTAGATTTTTATACTTTTAAATGCCTTTTTATTTACCGATATATTACCGTTATTATTCACGTTTGGCCAAATCGTACCTAATATATACATATATTATAATACAAGATGTAACAGTTGATAGAACTGACTTATGGAATAATTTTTGTTAAATATTTTTTATTTATTTATTTATTGTTTTTGTTCATTAAGTAACCCCAGTGCTACATGTTACATTTTTTTTTTTATTATTTAGTACTGAAAATAAAAAAAAAGTTTGGATTAACTAAAAATAGCCTATATTTGTGAATCTGATTATAAAAACAATTTTGATGGTAAAATGATTTATGTAAGTCAAATAGCTTATTTTTTAGAATAGTAATTTTTGCGATAAAATTAATTTAGAACTTTTAAAAAACTATGATTTTTGAGAATTTGCTGACATGAGTATATTTCTTAAATTATTTACTTATTATATTATTATAATATTAACAATTTTTGTCAGGTCTTTCTATTACATCTTGTATATACACACAAGTCACTATGTGTAGTATAGATAGGTTTAGGCATATTCATCGCTCATCGGCTTAGCCTATCGTCAATGTGTTAAATAATAACGCATCAAACGCCTGTAAGACAAAACACAAACATACGTCATAGGTACGCATAAGTACGGAAAGTCACTCGATTGTGACGTACAATAAATCGTCATATACATATTACATATATCGTTTTGGAATAGAATATAATATTTTATTATATCCTATAGTTGCGCGTATCGCATTACTAATCGGTACGAAGGTGCACCGCAGCGATCGTGTTCGAAAATCGTTATTATTGTAATTGTATGGTACAACACATCAGTTATAGGTATAGGTACATTAATCGTTGATTGACATTTTCTATTTAATTCCACACGAGGAATTTGCTACGCYCAAATGATCTATTCCTACACGTAGTTATAAGTATGTAAGTGATATTTTTTCGACGACTAATTTTACAAGGTATGAATCGAACTTTAGTTTTCACGAACTCTGCAATCTTKATTTTTTTCTTGGACTTTTTAAATATTTCGAATTTTAAACTTTAATCAGATAACGATACAGTTATAAAACTGTGTTAACTGATAAAAAGGGTAATGCGAGAAATAAAAACAGAATTTTAGGTTAGGAAGGAATTAAAATTAATTCTAGTTCATAATATCATGTTGAAATATTTTATGAATACCATACCTTTATACGTATATATAATGAATATAWTAATATGAATAACGTGTTTTTTTGTTTTTTTATYGTTTCTACAGGTAATTTCAAAGCCGGTCCGGAACCTGGTACGATCCTCAAGAAACTCTGTCCCAAGGAACAGTTGTGCTTCCAAGTGCTGATGAAGGACGTGCTGAGACCATACGTTCCCGAATACAAGGGTCACTTGACCACCGACGACGGAGACCGTATCCTTTTCCGAATTCAATAAATCAACTATTGAATATAGTATAGCGTACCTATTAATAAGTATATGCATTATTTTCGCAAAATCTCGAAAAAGTTATCAGTGCTCAATTAAAAAGCAAATTTGTTTTGTACTCACTCATAGTAATAATTCAAGTAGGTACGAATATTATAATATTATATAATAATTACTAATTACGTTATTTTATTACGATAAAAATAAAATTTGAGTTTTTAAKTTTTCAGTTAACTTATTTCACATTGCGTATAACAATGATATTATGTATTCGAGCGTTTTCATTTTTTTAAGAATGTACATTCAATTCACTAATGAGTTCTTCTATACAATTCCCGAGCCCCCGGTCTAAGGAGATACCAATGCATATTATTATTATTACGCACGTCGAGATCAAATACAATAAGCGTATTGTTGTAACCCGATCGTACCTAATGGATGTATAGTGTTATGATGTATAATATTATTCTTTTTAAATTACATTTTGTTATTATCATTATTATTATTATTATTATTATTATTATTATTATTATTATTATTATTATCTAGTCAAACGTTTTCAAACCAAACTAAAATATATATTATAGACATATTATGTATTATACGCTATACACTATATACAACAAGCGTTGAGCCCGGCAACCTCCACYAGGCTGAGTATTTTACGTCCACACGCACACACAAACCTGCGAATGTTATACACATCAAGCACTACTGTCAGCTCCATCGCAAGTCCATGACCTATACTCTGTTTAATGTAAAATTGACTTAAATTGTTGTTTTATAAAACAGTAGCGGTTGTGAATAATTATCATTATTAATTGTTGGCATTAATATTCCGATGAAATACGTTTGTTCTTCCGTGCGCTCGGTTTGATGGCCGTGTCGCGCCCAAATCCGCGCCCAGCTCGACACGATAAGGATGCGCAACAAGACGGTGACGTTGTCGCAATAATAAAATATGATTTATCGCCTAGGTCGATTTTCAATCTATGTTTCTTAATATGATACCTTGTCTTAGCATGTAGATTTTATGGGTCGGACGGGTTTCCTGTATGACTACCTATATAGAATATAGATCATTATTCATTTTTAAATTAAATCGACGATTTGAAAATATGCACATGAACCTATATTCACGCCTAATTTGGTCCAAAAATAACCAATAGAGTTTGRAAAATTAAAATTGAATTCTAATTCCAGTTTGATTTCTCTGAAAAAAATTTCATGATATGAATGATAAATTACGCTACGTCATTTGTACATATCATTTTTAAATCACATACCAATTATGATTAAATTTCACTCATTTTAATTTTGTTTACGCTATTGTATTATACTAATAAGGCATTAGAATCAATATTTAAAGATAAAATTGATGGAAATTTGTAATAATATTACTTCAAATTACGAACGCTTAAAGCCTTTTGCCAATTTAAACATATCAATGATTTATTGTTTTCCATGCATTGCAGAAAATATAAAGTACCTACCTACACTACGTTTTATGGATGTGTCTTCTCACACGATGTCATATTCTGATTTTTGACGTTATATCTATGACTTCTCGGAATTTCAGGTAATAGTTTTTCGCGAAAACTCAACTCTTTTTTATACATTTTAGTACAGTATACACAATAAGGTATTTTTACATGGTATTACCTATCATCATCCGTACAAAAAATATCGTCATGAATACAATATGTCCGTCTCGTGGCCTATATGTTATATATTGTTATTACATTTTGTAGTAATTTCGTCTATTATTTTTAAGCTAATTTTCTACGTATTTTAAATACTAACTATATGTAATAACTTCTGTATTATATTTACCTCTCAGGGTGGCCTTGACGGGCGATTTCAATTGGACAATTTGTTTTTGTGCAACACTCGAATTAACAAAAACAGCTTATATTTATAAAGCGTGGAAGCGTCTGAGTGTCCAAGCACACCAGCATTTGCATTTAATCACCTCAGAGTTCGCATTTATTTTAATTAAACTTTGATATTATCATATACCAGGTTATTGGAGTAGTTTTTATCTGTAGGTCTAAGTYCACTAGATCTAATACACATGATATGTGCGTCAAAGCAATCAAATCTGAGTAAATTTCCAGTATTTTTTCGCGTTTTGTGTCCGTTTCAAATGCCTATTCAAATAGACCTCGATCACTTGACCAATCTAACGAATCGCATATAGCATTTCATGAAGTATGGACAAACCTGGTGACGATCAAWTTATATGGTAGTTATAATGTGATTTATATCATCTATATATTATAATTAAGCTCAAAGCAGTCACTATTATTACCTCGAGGGAGGTTATTGTTGAAAAACAGAGGTTCGAATCTCCACAAAAAACTCCTTAAGTAGTACAAATCAGGAATTTGAAAATTTGTTCTTGTGTATATATTTAAAAATTCAATAAATCAGATTTTGAATAACTGGCGTCGAATGTCTTTGAACGGCTCTATAATATTACCTATATGTCATTTTTTAAAATAAATATTAACTGTAGATGTATATATAGAAACATAACAGCGCGCCAAAAAAACATAAAAATTATTTATTGATTGCATTAGTCGGTTTGTGACGGAGATTTCTTACAATAATAATAATGCAAATTCGTAATTGTATATTTTCACGTGGTCAAAGAACAGTAATTTTCAAACGTTGTACCTATTATACGCACTGCGGTGACGACGAAATCCAGAATTTCGAGAGGATCGAAATACACGTCATGAGTGTGGGTTTTCCGTGTACGTTCGCGTTTATATAATATTTAAAAAATGACGATTCTATAAAATATTATTACAATATGCAAACCTATTAGACGACGTATACGTTGCATTCCAGTGTTAATCTGTGACACCATAAAAAACTTATAATTATTTTTTTTTTTTATTATCAGCGTTGCAAAAAATGACACCGACTTGGAGCAGGTTTTATTATATATTGGAGCCTATTGATGAAATCGGAATCCTAACTTCATGTACCTGCGTCATAATTAGACGGCCCGCATAGAACGTTCGACAATCGTCCGCAGTAGTCCCCGTCATAAATCCTCTTACAAACTTAATATAAATAATACGCGCTCTATAGGTATAAATATATATGAACCAAGAAGTGCTGATAAAATATGTGCAACAATTACTTATACTTATAATGATGTATGTAACTTTTACTATAGGTAACACTCGCGATTTACGTGTCTCGATGTATCATAATATGTATCGATATATATGATGATAATATATTATATTAGAGATTTATTTTTTCCGTGACTCCCACACCGCAGTATATCTTCAGCTAGAAGACTTGTTGGGTGACTTCACTTCGCCGTGCGTCATGGACTGCAAAATCGGTGTCAGGACATATCTAGAAGAAGAACTGGCGAAAGCCAAAGAGAAACCCAAATTGAGAAAAGTGAGCACAAGCGACTCTATGCAATATTATTTTTTACCAGCTGCTGGTGATTCTTTTATCGAAGAGCACGTCTTAATATTTCAATAACTAAAACAACGTTTTGAAAAATATTTTTTCTTAAATTTTAGGTTGTCTTAAAACAGATCGTATTTTTATTATTTTTCACCTTTACTATTTTTTCAAGTTCTTTACTTTTTTTTAATGACAATACGCATTTTWATATTTATATTCCTATAAACATTTTTATTTTGAGTTTTTCGTTATAAAAATCATATTTTGGAAGAGTTCAGTGGTCGTTAAATATTTATAAAACTCATGATATACTCATTCGAAAATCAAATTTTATACACCGCAAAGTACAMCGAAAACCTATTGAAAAATGAGAATGATAAAAATATTAAACGACTAAAAATATTGTGTTTAAGAGGACGCTACACCCGCATGTGTTGTCTCCGTCTTACAAGTGCGTAACATTGCAAAAACTGTTTCGCACGGGAAAGAACCGAGAAGGCTACAGTTATAACTAAGAAACGAAATTTTCACCACAGATAAAAGGGAATCTCGACTGTGCAACGTTGTTTTCAATTTTTCGATATCACAAATAGAAAAAAAGTTCTTATTGTTTCAAAATTCATTAATTTTGCGTTTTTCAAAATCGAATAACTTTTATTTCAGTTCTAATATCAAAAAAATAAAAACAACGTTGCACAGTCGAGATTCCCTTTTATCTGTGGTGAGAATTTCGTTTCTTAGTTATGACTGTAGCCTTTTCGGTTCTTTCCCGCGCGAAACAGTTTTTGCAATGTTACGTTCTTGTAAGACGGAGACAACACATGCGGGTGTAGCGTCCTCTTAATATAATATTTCGTTTTGGAAATTAATAACGAGTGTTATTCGATAAAATAATTACTCGATAGGTATACTACCTATTTATTTCTCGCATATTATCATTCTTAATAATATAAAACATTACTATTATTATTATTATTATTATTATTGAAAATGTATGCTTGTGCGTGTGTCGCTATGTTTATAGGACATGTACGAAAAAATGATTCAGATCGACCCGAACGCACCATCAGAGGAGGAACACCGGCTGAAGGGTGTGACAAAGCCCAGGTGAGAAATATAATATTATAATATTTTTCACTAATCGTTTTCGCGTCCCATAATTGGAATAATTATTATTATTATACTTATAATATAGTGAGTGGTGAATTAAATCGTTGCTGTAGACTAGATTTATTTGTAAGATTTAAATTTCGCGTGTGTGCGCAAAATATGCACCTCTTTCAAACGCAACCACGAAAACTCTAGAGGTTCGCGAGTCTCTTAATAATAATAATATGTAGTTATAATTATATTGTAATTTATAGCAGCCGAACGAGTTTGCATATAATATAATAATATATATATGTATACGGGTAATATTATGATATATAATATGCGAGGTCGGTTGTGCTGTCGCCGAAAAGAATGATTTCTAACGCCTTTCTTTGCTCGAGAAAAAACGCGTCGTACACAATTATAATCATACGATGTATAGTAATAATAATAATAATATTCGTTTCAATTGCTCGCTCACACCAAGCTCTGCTATATATATACGTAGTGTAAATTGTATTATATATATAATATTATATTGAATTATTGCTATATAATAAAATTAAGCACATAATATATGTCTTAATAGCCCTCGCGTATTTTGTATTTTTCCAAAACTAGGCGTCATGTAATATTATGAATCAATATAGTCTGTTGAAAATCGCGAATTTTGCTTTCGCGTGTGTATTAATACTCATAATTGGTGATGAATTCATATATATTTTTCTTGCAGTCGGGTACATCTATATTATCCCTAATAAATTGGACATGTTTGATACAATAAATCATTAAAAATATAATGGTAGGTACTCTAAATTTTTACAAAAAAGTTTTATTTTTCAATCATTCTTTAAGATTTAATGAGTATTTTGTTTAAGGATGACCTAAGTTTATAATTTAATTGCCGAGAAGAGAATATTTTATTTATTTATGTTTTTTTTTATTGATCAAAGTACATCAACAACTAGGGCATTAGTAAAAGAAATTTTTTTGTTACATTTTTAGTATTTTAAGTATAAATTGTCTATATTAAATTAAATTGTACAATTCTGTTTTTTTAAGTATAAAATGTTATTTATTTTTAATGTTGATGTAATGTGTCAAAACCCTACACATCATTACACATATATCTAATAAGAAATGGCAACAGATTGGATTATATTTTAAAAATTTAACGTTATATCAATACTGTTTTGATGGAAACTTTATAAAAAAAAACACAAAAATGTATGAGAAAACAAGTGTTTTTAGTTAAATGAGTATCAATTAGTATTATAATTAGTATTAGTTTTTTTTATCTAGATGTACCTTTAGAGAACGTTTGGCCGTGTGACGTCCAGCGATACTTCCAATTTCTTATGTGCGTATAACTATCAAGTGGTATAAGAAATAACCGTATGTTATGTGTGACGTGTGTACCTATATCATTATCAATGAATAAAAATATTTGATTAATAATAATATATAATATTAGGCAAGTATAAAATATGTTGACCCAACGAGCCGCTGTTTAATCGAATTTTTTACTACATTATACTCGCACCATATATAATGTATTATGTATTATTGATATGATATTATGTGCAATGACGATTAAATAGGAAGCCTACCTACTTGTAATAAGATAATTATTAAATTATCATATTGTCCTACCTTCTTCGTCTTCTTTTGTTATAGTTCCTGTTCAATCACGTTCGTGATAACCCAGAGCATATTATCTTTMGAATTATCGATGTCGGATGAAAAATACMGACTACGAAAACGAGCAAATTCTTTCTCGTCGGTGCCACGTTAAATGCGAGTTTCGTCGATGTAAAAAATCATTCATAATATTTATACGCACGTGGTTACCGAATTACGCACATCTTAACTTCGTGTTACGTACCTACCGATACTCGGTTGTAGTCATCGATCATTTAAAAAACGACCAAAACCATTAATATATAACACAAGTATACCAAAATATATTAACCAATAAAATATATTATAAATTAAATTTTAAGTGTTTTATATTGGA